ATTCCCCAAATCTACTCTCTCAGGTCAGACTAGCCTATTATGAAACCTAAAAAGAATATGGGAGGAAAAAGATATGCCAAGAAGTATGAATCTGATTGAGGTGAAATCTGCCCATCCGCAAGATCTCTGCAGGTTTTTGAGGAATTGTATATTCATGATTTTACCTCTTTTTCTCACACATTTCTACCTATTGAAGTCTAAATACTCCGTACAAAAATACATGCTGTTCTTCACTCTGGAGACATGCTTTTGAACAAAGAAAAGAGGAAATGAGAGAAATCCGAGTAGGATCCCAATTGATCCAGGGAGGTTTTTGGTAGCAGGGCCGTCTGACACCTAGGCATACCATCTATTAGACTAGGCTATTTAGGCGCCGTGATTTATTCCCCCACCAAATTCAGGGGTATCAAACCTTAATTTAGCCTTAGCCCACTACACGTGATCAATCTAGAACCTGCTCAAGCCCTAACCCGAAGCCCTCCGTTACCTTCCTCCTCCTCGCCTCTTGTGCTAACTGTTGCTATCTCATGTTTCATTCATCCCTGACTCACTGTGAGACATGTTCGGTGACAAAGGAACCTTCAGTCTTGCCTACAGCAACTTACGGATCATGCTTGGGAGAATGTTTTGAACAATCTCACAACAGACAGGAAGAGCTGGGAAGATTTGATAATCAGTACAATGATTTCTATCTCCTTGTACCATCCAGATGACAGGAACAAATTCGTTTTCATCATGGCATCGTAGTGATGCTTTTCCCGTGTGCATTTTAACTTGCACGAGTTACACGATTTCACATCGTCGTGATGTTGGGAGGTTAATGAATATCACATAGTTAGTTCAGCTTTTACCGAGTTTAAGGCTTTGCTTAGCTGCAACAAAGACAACGAAAGGGAGGAGTTTACGAGCATGAGGCGGTTTCTAGCTGTTGGTATTATTATTTCCACCGAAGGTTGCCTGTATTTCCATCTGACTTGGAATATAACCGAGAAGAATACCCAGAAGCTTCAAGGGCTGTCATTCTCAGTCCAATAACTACTTCTCTCGTCGCCGAGTGTTGCTTGAGTGTTGCTTTACTCCTACGCGTAAAATTAATGGAAGTCAATGGCACCTTAGTAAAGTACATGTGCATGAAAATGCCCATTTCAAACAGAAACCTGAATTGAACAGGCTGGCAACTAACCTTGTATCATGAGTGATTTTTTAGACGACTCACCCTTGATACAGGGTTAGTTGTGCTCCTCCGCACTCGGTCCGGTGGAATCGCAGTCCGTGGCTGCCGTGATGTTGCTTCATCATCACCTGCGCCGGGATTCTCTTGTTGGTTGTTGTCCTGTGAAGATGGATCTGCCAAAGACCCTGCTTGGAGCTCCCGCTGTTTTCTTGAACTGTAGGTGGAACCCGGGACTTGACCAACCAATCCGCTCCCAATTACACCTGATGGGCTGCGATGAAAGTCGACGCCATCATCGTCTTGTTTGGGCCGCTGGTGACTGTTAGGATCGAATTTAGCTGTCTTGGGCGCAGCGTTCCTCACCGTTTTGTCAGTTTCCAGTTGAGTTGGGGGCTCATCGTTTATCTGTTTTCGCGTGCGTTTGACGCGAGTGTTTCTGGAGCTAGGTTGCGATTGTTGCCGCTTTTGTGTAGGGGATTTTTTCATCTTGACCGCTGTGACAGGCTTTGCATCGTCAGGGGATGCTGAAACTCTGTCTGCCTGCTTATGAAGACCACGATTTGTTGGAGTGGCTGAACGCGAACCGTGTGCATTATTTTCAATGCTAAACTCGATGGTAGTTTTACCGTCAAAAAGATCGGCAATAAAGGCCCGCTCAGTCGAATTTATTTTTAACATCCTAGACATCAGATAATAGAATTGGCTGTTTGGGCAGGCATCAAGCGCCTTTTTAGCCGCATCAGCGATGTAGCTGTGATAGTTCTGTTTTCTATATAAATCAGGAAGGCGACCAGAGACTTCTAGGACCACGACGCCAAAACTCCAGACATCAACTTTATTGTCATATCTTTCACCATTGCGCATCCTACCGAAGACTTCAGGCGCGTCGTAAAATTTTGTTCCGAGTTTTGATCTCATAGAGTTACCGATTTTTGAAAGCCCAAAATCGGCCAATTTGATATGAAAGAGCTCCTTTCTGCCGCGGACGAGAATATTTTCTGGCTTGATGTCTCGATGTGTGATATTTTCGGAATGAAGGTAACGAAGAGCATCGAGTCCTTGAGCAAGTAGGAGTTGGGTTTCTTCCGTATTAAGCGGGTCGCGCTCGTGCTGATCATATAGGTTTCCCAAGGGCAGGTATTCCATAATCAGCTGCAACGGATTTGTTGTGGAATCTACAAACTCGATGATATGTTCCTATGAAACGTGTTAACTTTGAAGTAGGCAGAGTGGAATAAAATGCCATACATGCGCCGTGCTTTTAATATTTTGTATTTCTTTTGCGAACTCTGCCTCTTCCAACGAATCATGTTCGAGTGCCTTCGTGCCCACTTCTACTCTGTTGTGCCCCAAGTCGGCCAGATCATCGATTTGAATTCTCTTAGAAGCATATATATCCCCAGTGCTCACATTTATAACTTTGTTAACCGCGCCGAATGCACCCTTCCCAATTCTTTTTACATGAAAATAGATTGGGTCATTTATGGGAGTACGTGGTCGAGTTTGGTCCTTGCTAAGTAAGGCCATACCACCGAAATCGAAAAGCTGGTTTTGACTTTCTTGCACATATCTCTGCACATTCTCCTCGTACTGCCGTTGACAGGAAGCGTGATCTGGGAATATGATGTCAAGGTAGAAATCATTCGGGAGATGGATGCGGGTCTCTCTTGGCTTGTCAAGGACTAGCATCCACTGAAAATGCCTCCGCCACTGTGCAGATCCCCTGCCATCATAGCTAACCGCAGTTCTCTGACTAGATATATCCTTCAACACAAGTTGGCCTTTTTGATTAAAAGCAATCACAAAATGAGTCCGCTTATGCCACTCGCCTCTGGTTTGGAAAACACAACATCACAGAGCTTCGTGTTAGTCCCGAAAAAGAATCCCCGTGTGATATCCCTGGGCGGCGCATTAAATTTCAACCGGACATACCCATAGGGCTCCTGAATCTCCTTCGCTTCGTCGGTGTCATCATCCTCTTGCCCGGTGCTAGTTTGTTGGTTGCTTGGTTTTGGTTTCCGCAGCCCTGTAGGCTCCTTCTGGACTGGATCAAAACGGCCTTTATTTTTGTCAGAGGTTAGAGATGCCACCAAGTCTCTTTGTCGCACCACCATCGACAAAATAAGGTTTGGATCGTGTGTTTCGTTTTCCATGTTTGGCGAAAAAGATCTTACAGTGGGTAAAAAGTCATTGTAGTATGGATGGGGCCTTTTCCGAAGCCTGGGGATCCTCCGTCAGACAACACCAGGAATGGGAGGACGCACCGCTTATAAGGAAATGGGCGACGACCAACGGATTGCAGCACAGCTGCTGGGAAGTAAGTGAGGAGTGCATCTGCGGCGCAGCCAAGCAACACTACGGGATGCCTTAAGTGGGCGAACAGGCATGCAGCTGGCTTAATCCACCTTCCGAGGCACACTGCAGATGACGGTTCCCCCGACCCGATTCCAAGTGGCCGATATGCCATTTTCAGTGGTGAGGCAGCGAGGCCCCGCAATGCATGATGGGGAGTTTGGGCCTCAAATCCATGATGTTGTGGTGGCGTGGCCGTTCATCATTCGCACAAAGCAGCATCCTTGACCGAATAATAATCATAAATAAACAAAGAGAGCCTTGTATTATTTTGGCAATAGACATAATTACCTGCAAGTCGGAACAAAATTCCTAAAAATAATCATCCTGGCATTAGGCTGCCGTTCTCACAAGGGAATAAAATGATATGGAAACCGGGAGTAGGGAATTGGGAATTGGCGAGCATATTTTAATTCAGCGACGCTTCATGTCCCAGATATTCATTTCATGAAGCAAGTTGAGTCCGAGACAACATACTGTATTAAACGCCAAATGCTGGTTGGTTATTACGCTGCGTAGAAATATTCCAATATGCCTAGTTCGCGTACGTTGTGTACCCACGAGTATGGATCCCTGTGGGTATATATTTACTGGGGAGTGCGGGTGATGTTCAAGGCTAGATCCGCCAGATATTGCAACCCTGATGCGCCCTGTTTCGGTAAAGTGCGCAAGTCTTCCTTATAAGTGATACGCCAGCCCTGTTGTGGTCTGCTCGCGGTATTATTGGTGTTTTGTTGTTGCTTTGCTGTTGTTGCTTTGCTGTTGTTGCTTTGCTGTAAATAGTTGCCCAAGACTGATCTTGGCCACCCTGCCTCAGCTCCTTTTTTTCTCCTTCCCTTCTTCATTTTTCTGTTCTCCCCAAACATCACCACCCACCAGCAACTTTACTTGACTATCTATGAACTTGAAGAAGTACGTCCTTATTCGCTATGGCGTCTAACATGACGATATCTATTGCTGATCTCGACAAATTAACTGCAAAGGATTTTGAAGGTGTGCGGTAAGTCAACCCGAATCGACTCAGTTGTGCCTCTGAAATTTTTGGATATGATATTGTATGCTGACGATGCCTGGAAGGTGGATTGAACCGTCGGATCAGGAAACATGGACCGAAGAACATTTGAAAAAATTGCAGTAAGAAAGAATGGCTTCAACTTTGATGTCCTGCCTGAGAATTTCGATGCTAACGTAGCGCTGGAAGGGAGATTGTCAACTCGAGACAAAATGAATACCATTTAGATGCCACGGAATTAGAGGAGAAACTTAAGTGAGACTACCATGTGTATTGCTGTGGATATACCTGGGCTATAAACTAAATAATCTTTGATTGACACAGAATTTTATCAAATGCAGATGCTCCCCGCCGCTCCGCTTCCTCCACAAGCGTGGCCACGACCCCGACCCTAAGCCATACCCCAAGTCGTATCCCGACTCCGACCCCAGAGGCAGAAGCTTTCAAAAAACAACATCTCGCTGACTGTATACGGGATTATAACTATTTTGTAGAGAACCGGGGACGGCCTGCCTTTCCGCTGGAATATGCCACGGCCCCTCCTAAAAACTTCGGAAAATATAGAGATATGATCGATTACTGGTCCCAAGGCTTTTACAACCAAAGAAATAATTGGGTTGCGTTCCAAAACTTCCAATTAAAAAAGCGGCAATCAATAGAGATTTTCACCAAGTACCAGCAGGACGTTCATGACCACCGCGAGAAGGAAGGGATTGAGGGCGACATCCAGCTACATTTTGATGAGAAACAACAATCCAGAGTAGTCCAGTGGAAGGAGTATCATTATTATCTCCACAGACGTGTTCCCCGGTGGAGGGAGAAGGCTGAAGCCGCGCGCAAAGAGCGAGAGCAGGACATGTTAGATTGGGAGTCTGGTAAACGCAACCCTAACATCCCGGAGAGTATGGGTTGGATCCACAGTGTGCGAACACTAGTGGAATCTAACCTAGAGAAATACATGAATTGGATTCGATGGGTAGAAGCAGAGCTTCCCAAAGTTGAGCAGGAATGTGCAGAATCCGCCAGTAAAAATGTGGACGATGAATCCCGTCTAGTGGAAAAAGAGGACGTGGCCACAGAGCCTACAACACCGCCGCCAGCGCATGCCGAATCAGCACCTCCACCCGCGGAAACCCATCCAAGGAGCTGTCGCCAATCGGTCAGCGGAATGGAAGACCCCAAAGACTCTGTAGACGTTATTGATACACCGGAAGTTTTACACAAGCAGCCAAAACTATCAGTTTCCGCTGGACAACTTACTCATACAGATTCGGAGATGGCTTCTTTGACAAAGCCGGATCAAAGCAGCACAAGTGCAGGACAAGCTACTGGAGAAGCTAGTACAACTGGCTTGCAACCAAAGAGGTCTTCTCGTCTGACAAAACTGGACAAAAGCAGTGCAAGCACAGAGCAAGCCACTGGAGAAGCTAGTACATCTGGCTTACCACAAAAGAGGTCTTCTCATGCAGCAAAACTGGATCAAAGCAGTGCAAGCACGGGGCAAGTCACTGGGGAAGCTAATACATCTAATTTACAACGAAAGAGGTCTTGTCGTGTAGCAAAACCTTCCACAACGGCTACAGCTGAGTCTGTTCCATTGCGCCGGAGCCAGCGAATCATTGACATGGAATTAAGAAAAGCTCAACGAGCGGAAGAGGAAGCGGCAGAGGCTAAAGAGATAGCATCAAAAGCATGAAGTCGAAGAGAGCCAGCAGCTCAGCAAATGAAAGGAACCTCCAAACCAACCCCAGCGCGAAGTCAATCTCAAACAACGACAAAGCCCCGGGAACCTAGGAGAAGGAGGCTCTCTTCACCTGTGAAAATCAACACCCTAGCAAGGGAAGTGATGGTTTAATATTTTCGCCTAAACTGTGTAAGTGGATTCCGTTATCCAAATGACCAACGTATTTTGTCTATGGATACATGCGTGAAGAAATCATGGGCTTTCCCGTCCTCCAGATACCTCCATGAACGGCTCTCCCGGGACCTTTAGCGCCCTGGCTAGAGCCATCATAACTATAACACGACGTTACAACTACACCGGCACCCACTCCATTTCATATAATCATGATAGGTAGTTTATCAAACGAGCTACCGCATATCTTACATTACTAACCAGAGACAGAAACCCAGCAGCTGCAGCTGATGAATGAGATGTGCTCATTTATCATCGAAACACACCACCACACACACCATGTACGCTCCCTTTCGGTTGATGTACTGAGACTTGCTATACCGCGTGTATAGGTTATTTCGGAATTTCCGGCAAAATTGAAATCGCCGAAAATTTACGGTACAGAACAGGGTAGGAAGAAAGAAGTTGGGGAAAAGAAGAATAAAAGAAAAAGAAAAATCGCGGGGGCTAGGTCCGGAGAAGTGAGAGGTTAAATGAACGCCGCTGGTAGGCTTTGTATACCAAATGGAGAA